AATCGTGCTGGCCAGAGTTCCTCTAACAGCACCTTCATCCACAACGCTCACACTCAACATTTCAGTGCTTAAAAACACACAATTCCATTTTCCCTATAACTGTTCTCGGTTCTCCATTTTCATCTTGGTTTATGCAGCTGACTTTCAGCATGCACAACTTTGTAAACAAAATCTTGTGTCTAAACAAAGAATCTTCACAGATACCGAAATATTATTAGAGGAGATCAGTGAAGTCATGTCTGTCCACTGAAATTCTGCAGTATATGGATCTCTCGTTATGCAGATGCGTGACTGGATGAAGAGAATATAAACATGAATATTTTCATTTTTATATCACAGACAAATCAGTTGCTGGATTGCAATGCTGTCAGAAATGGCAAACAGTAGATTATTCTTCAGCAGGCTGATCATTAGCAAAATCACTTTGCTATGAATGGTGCTCTTTTGTGAATGGAGGCCTGTAGATTCAACTTATTCCAATAAACCAAAGGCATTACGGTGATAACTAAATATTTTTGGTCTCTCTACAAATTGTCATTATTATGGCAGCACTTTTCTAAGCTGGAATTTCAAACCAAAGGCACTTTCATGCTAGAGTGCAGAAGAGTCACAATTAATTATTTGGTCATGAAATTTAAAAAGGCAGCATTTCTTAATACAATTCACTTTTTCACGGAGAACTAAGAATCTGTAACCTTTCCTTTTGGTATAGGCATTTATCTGCGTAGGAATGGGACCGACTTGTACAGACGGTTGGTTTAGACCAAGCAGTCAAAGAGTAATATTTTTTCTGTGGGAAAAAATACAGATATTTTAAAAATGGAACCAATTAATAAAACAACATATAAAATTTATGTTAAGAGGCTAAAGGTTCTTCTAATATAATGCTAAGGCACTGCATATTGTAATGCTTTGGCAGCTCTCAATTAAAAGGTTCCTACAAAAAAGTAACAGTAACAAGATAAGTACTTCCAGCTTACAAAAGAGCTCACAGTTTACAGGCAGCCTGTTGGACTACACACCCCACACTCAACAGTTGAAGGATTAAGGCTTTTAAGAATTAACATATACAGGGTATGGATCATTTACAGAAGTGTAAAGAAAAGACGATGGAAGTAGTTTCCCTAATATTACATATGTGAACACCAATAAACATTGTGACTGTTTATACCCTAGAGTTATGGCATATGTAGTGTGTCAGACTCTATTAAAAAAACCTGTACCTGGTTTTGAAAATTGACTTACATACTTTATATGCCTTAAAGAGTTCGCTTGTTATCAAACAAACAAAAAAAATTAAAAAAAAAAAAAATCACCAAACCCACAATTCAAACCCTAAATAAAAGACAACTTTAGAACAAAAAAACAAAGTAGTTTTTGACTCGTAACACCAAGTGCTTAGAATAAAGGGCTACCGTTAGGCTGTTACAATGCAGTGCTTTTCCTGATGTGATTGTTAGTGTTAAAAATGAGCATTAAAAGAGACTTTACCATGGACATATTTCTCTGTTCAGTTCGCAGAATATAAAACTGAAAGATCATCAGCCCTAATATCCACAAGCAGGTAACAGCTAGACATCACAGCAATCATCCACCTACCCGAGTCAGATCAGAGGCAGGCTGAGGAACTAAAGCAGTTGCCCTTCCCCTCGGTGGTGTTTGCATCGCTCTGTAACCCGAGGCCTCACCAGTGCTGAGTCTGAACCTGGTCTGACGCAGACACGCAGCGACCCACTACCTCATCTAGGCTCTGTTCTAGTCTGGATAACTCAACAATGGGCAATTCTAACAGACAGTACTATGCAGGCATATAATATAAAAAAAAAAACCAAACCAAACAGCTTTCTTTTTTGAAGACTACATCACTGGGAGTAAATTCTACACTTAAATGGCGCGTGGGCACTGTTTGTAAAAGGGTAGGGAGGAGGGACCTGCTAAATGTTAACTTCTTTGATTCAGGACTACAAAAGACCTTCCCAAGAACCCTCTTTGCTGATACCTCATGACTGATCTCTAAGGTGGCTTGTGCTTGGTCGGGCAGCCCTCAGCCTTTCAGACAAAGGTATCACATGAGAACCCGCTGCTGGCCCAGCACCTGCCCAAACAAGTGCTTGGGCGACTGAGGGGCTGTGCTGGGCTGCAGCAGGAGAGAAGAAACGGAGCAACACTCTCTGATGTGACCAGGAGGAATGAGACTACTGCTCTCACACGTGCTACCTCAGACAATCACTCACACCCACATCCATGGTTCAAATCCTTACAGTATTAAAATATCTCCAGCTGTACTTCACTTCCTGGAGTCTTCCCTGAATATATCAGAAGGATGAATACTACCACATCTGGATGCAAAAGGACAGCAGACCCCACGTGGTACGTATGTGTCTGTTTTGTAAAGGTGTTGGCCAGTCAGAACTGGAGAGACAACTGGGGGAGGTGTAAGAGCACCATGACTGAGAGGAAAAGGAGAAAAAAAAAAAATCTCCACTTTCCAATCTTCTTTGCCTGATCGCTGGTTGTGATTTTCTAGCATCTCATAGATATTAAAGCTGTTGATCCTTTCAGAGTTGTACATACTCTTCTTTCAAACACGTTAGTGTTTTGCTTTCTGTTTACAAATTACTTGATGCTGTCACAATGTCAGTTGTTTCCGTTCATCTGTTCATTTCAGAGTTGCAAGTTTTTTGCTCATTAGAAAACATAGTTGTCCATATAAAATATAACTGCACACACAAGACTACATATAATGCAAGTCTAAATCTTCAGTATTTACCTACTTATTGCAAAATGAGCCATCTTTTTCATTAAATAATCAAATTTTCATATTAGTACAATACAACTTTATACTCTTTTAAAATACACTAGATATGTTAGGGGTAAGGGATGATGTTTTCTTTCTCTGCAATACCTGTTTGAAAGTTTAATGGATTAGAAGATTAGTTTTAGCGTTGAGAAAAAAATACAAAATTTGCCTAATTTTAGGACCTGTCTGTTTCCATCAGGCATTTCTTAAGGCTATATTTTTCATTTGGTTTCAAACAGAAAAATGTTTCATTTTAAAAAATAATTTAGTGAATTACATTCGTCCATATCTTCCACCCTAATTAGTTACAAAGATAATTCTATAAAGATTATTAACTTTGCGTACTCATTTACAGTTATAGCTAAAGATTAATTTCAATTTCACTTGCATTGTAAAACAAGTATTTCATGTTGGAAAAAAACCCAAAATAAATTCTTATAAACGCTGTCAGTTTTTCCCCATGGCAAATGCTCTGTCATACATTTTTCTATCAGAATTAAAAATAGGCCTCCACAGACAGAGGCATTAGGTTCTTAAATACAGTCTTCCCAAAGAACTGTGGTTTACAAATTTGAAGAACACTTAGTTTTAGAAATAATTTTTACAACTGTACCAGAATTTCACAGCTACAATTATATATGAACACATTAAAAATGACTTCACTAAAACAGGATTTAGAAAAATGTGGGTGAAAGTTGGGCCAGAGGCACTGCCACTTAGTGTTTGAGGTTTACAGTCTGTGTTTTGATAAAGAAGTGAAATGAAGTGTATATATAAATAACTGCTCAGTCCTTTACAAGCCTGTAGATATGATGCTGTGCTCCATGTTCGCTGTTTGACACTTCAAATACACAAGCCATGCAGAGCAGGGTTTCTTGTGTATCCCTGTTTGTTACCACCTGTTTGGGGGAAGGAAGAGGGAGACCGGACATTACACACTTGGAAACACCAGGGCTGAAACAAGAAATGACCCTCATCACCTTGTGTTCTCTTGCCAAAGGGAGCTGGGCAGGGAGAACACTGGCTCTGTGCTTGCAGCCCCACACCCTCCCTGTGCTGCCAGCCCTCGGTTCTGAGGGAATCCTCAGCTTGGCTGAGGTGCCACTGCACTGAAAGCAAGCTGAGTAACTAAGGAAACCAGCTTAAAGGACACCACACCGACCATTCTTTGTGCTTTAAATCATCTGTTGGGCATTAACTGCCTGTTTTCCCCGCCCAAGAACTTATTAACCCCACTGATATTTGCGGTACTGTAGCCCAGTCTCAGTAAGAACACAGGGGATGGTTCAAAGTTACTGCCTCAGGCTCCCTACAGACACCAGACTTGTGTGGAGAAAAAAAAGAGAGAAGTAAGCTGAATTTGTGGAAAATAACAAAGATGTTTGTTCATGTTCACAGCCAGCTGAGCCTTTTCATCCCAAGCATCTATAGTGCCCAATTCCAAGAGTATCATTCTGAAGTCAGTGGGATGGCTTGTCTAGTAAGCAACATGACTAAGGGATCTGCAAACTGGTTCTCAACATTACAAGCTAAGCAAGATGTACAAAGCCTGAGAGTATTTTAGAAATGGAAAAGTAAGAAGTGAGTCCATACCAATAAAATTGTAAAGTTTTCCAACACACTGTTCATCATGTATTTCTCGGGTAAATGTTTCAGCTTGTGTATGAAGTTGATCATATATTCACACATTGGAGAGCGATTTATCCTGTACACAAATCGGCCATTCTCAAACCTTGCATATTCAGTCTGAAAAAATAAGAAAGAGCATTTAGAAAGTGACCACTAAATCTGTTTTTTTTCTTTCTTTGTGTAGACAGAAAAAAGAGAAAGTGGCTCAGACACACACACGCCTACTTGCTGACTCCCTGCCTGAGCTGTGCGGTGCCCTGCTAAAAATTCAAGGGCCCTTAATTATTAAAAATTACAATATCACTACTTGTTCTCTAACCTGTGAATTGACAAACTGAACACATGAGGATTACAGAACGGAAAGTCCAAGTTGAGTAAAAATCATATTAGGCACAAAACTTTGTGGTAAGATGATTTTAGAGGAGTTATGAGGCACCTGTCTGCAAAGAGAACAGCAAAAATAAGTTTATATATTTATGCTTAAGTATACACATACAAACATTGATATATTATTGCATGATTTAGTAGGCAATTTATGAACTACAGAAAGATGCAAGACTACAGGTGGAAGAAAACCAGGCTGACTTAGATTGCAGGGGCTCATAAAGGGCTGAAGGAGGGTAAGGCTGTGACTCTTGGACTCCAGCTGCCCAGCTACCAATTGCTCAGATGAGCTACTCAGTGGCTTGTGGGGATTTTTGGCTTTCTCTAAGCTTGGAATAATGGAAATGGTTAAAACCTTATTTATGGTCACCATGGTTAGAAAACATATTTTGTGTAAGAAGGACATGAACAGCGACCAGGACATCTATAAAGGCTCAACCTACAGCTCCAGGCTAAAATTCCAACACAAAAACTGTACTGCAGATAACAGATGTGTGTATGGGGCTTATTACTACTCACACATGGGTTAAAATGAACCCAAATGCTGCTGGAAAGGAAAATATTCTTTCAGGAAGGATCAGAGGAAGGAAGGAAGGAAGGAAGGAAAAGCCAGGTGAGATCAAGTAAAGACAAGAGAGAGAAAAGCCCAAGTAAAATAAAAGGGAACCAGAGCATCACCCCACATATCCCATCACAACACCCACCTCTACTTTTTCTACTACTTGCTTTCCAAATGAACAGACTTTGGTGGAACAGGTGATTGTCATGTTTTCTGAGCTCTCGTACTGACTAGTGACTCCGTAAAATGCTCCTGTATCATCCTGGATGTTGCAGTTTAAGTCAGCCTGTTGGGAAAAAGGGATAGATGGTGAAGATTTTATTTTTCACTTGATGATGTCGGTAGCATAAGCTGTCATTAGTTCACTGTTCTTTTCAGAAATAAGGGGGGTGGTTTTGTGGTGACCAGCAACAGCGGAAAAGGTATGTCAGGGAAGTACCTGCCTAACTGTTGCAGCAAAACCACAGGAAAGCAGCAATTTATTCAAGTTTTACACAATAAAAGATGACCCAGTATTTCTCTGGGCTACAGGTGATGTTCTTGTCTGGCAGACAGCTGATGGAAATCCCTGAAGCTCCGGAGCCAACCCCTCTGGAGGGAACCTGCCTTGTGGTCTCAAATCCAACCCAGCCACCCCACTCCAGAGAGGCCATAGCTCACTTTCTCCTTTTCCTTTCTTAAAGCAACGAAACCCTCCTGGCAAAGGGAGACAGCTGCACAACACAGGATCGATCTCTGATAAGACTGTCAGGCCATATGGCGTTGATTCAGCAAAATACTTGACTTCAGGGAGCCGTGTGACGCAACCCGCCGGCCGCACGTGAACCGTGTGCGCAGAGCCGTGCCTGCCCACCATAAATACTGCTGGGAGTGTTTGCTCTCCTCCAGCATTTCTCTGCAGCCTCAGTAACTACCCAGCTGCCTTTGATATCTAGCAACAGGGACCGAGACTTGCAGGATCAAGTGAGGAACAGCGCTACCTTTAATTATTTACGCCCAAATCCAAGTCCTGCGCACAGCGGGATTAATTTGGCTACAAAGCAACCACACGGGTCACCTGCTGAATCCGGCCTCCCTGGGCCTGCAGCAGCGCTGGAGCTGTTCTGCCACTGTGCTCTTTGACATCATCAATCCATTTTCAAAAGTCCTCTACTTAAAAGCGCGCTAATATGGATACAGGCAGAGTCCAGGGATATGCACAGCTGGATTTGTTGATTCAGGCATTAGCTCTGCTGACATCTTTGGTGCCCAAGGAGAGAGCGGGAAGGGTTTTCTTTTTATGTGGAAATAGCTGATCAGCTACTGCAGTGTGACAGCTAAGAATTGCCCGAATTTTTAAGTTACTCCAAGATGAGCATTTTACCAGGGAAATACACTTTTGCGACTGTTTCACTTGCAAGTGTCTTGCTCTGCTTGGTTTTATTGCTAATATAGAAATGGAACACAAAATACTTGACAGGTACCTTCGTGTCTACCTCAAAACTTTTTAAAAAACCAGTTTACAGGTATGTTTATGTATGCCCCATCCCTGGAAGTGTTCAAGGCCAGGTTGGACGAGGCTTTGAGCAACCTGGTCTAGTAGGAGGTGTCCTTGCCCAGGGCAGGGGGGTTGGAACTACACGATCTCTAAGGTTTCTTCTGACCCAAACCATTCTATGATTCTAGAGCGGAGCATTCAGTATAGTTCAGGTCATTTGTAACTGCTATTTAATTTTTAACCCGGCAATGGCTCATTAATTCTACTCAGTGTCTGCAGCCCTTATTTGTGGTACCTCGTTCTGAGGCAACGTGCTGATAATGGCACATACTGAGGTAGTTTGTGGTACACAGAAGACACGGGTCTAAGATTACTTGGGGCTGGCTTTGTAAATTAATCAGTGGAGCAGTCTCCTGAGGTTTACACACAGTAACACAAACAGCCCTATAGTCACGTATTTTGCATAACAGAAAGAAATCCTATCACTGCTACACCTTGTTTCTTGCACCTGCTTTGCGTGAGGTCAGCAGTTAATGTTTAATGTGCGTCTAAAGCGCTGTTTTCACAGCGAGCTGTAAGAAATTGTTCCGAGCTGACAGTAAATAAACAATTTGCCATCACAGCTGGCTTGCAATTGAAACATGACAAACATCTAAACACGACAAACTGTAGCATCCACCAGCCATGCCACAGCTGCTCCACTGGAATTTCTGAAGAATAGGGATTTCTGCTGAAACAACTGCACTGTTGTAGTTAATAATAATAATAATAATAGGAGTAATCTCTTAAAATGGGGCTATTCCTGATGCTACCACAGCTTTACTAGCTAGTAAATTACAGTTTTACTAGCAAAAAATTTTTTTCCTTTCAGATATGAGCAAAATATTTAAGAAATCATAACTAAACCACTCCTCATAATTTCATGTTGTCAAAAGAGTCAACCACATAGACCTTACACTTCAAGCTGCAATAACAACCGTTTATAGAATAAAAAAAAGAATAACATTTTATCTGCTGCCTTCTGATTTTGAAGCCCACTGAAAAAAATATCTAATTGTTGTATTTACGTGCCGATATTTAACCTGGAAATGTAACATATGTGGCCATCTGGCACCCTGTTGTTTACTCCCACAGCTCTTCCAGCTCAGCTGAAATCACCAGGAGGCCTGTGTACACAAAACATGCAGGCTGGGGCCCTGATGTTTGAATGAAGAACACTTGAAACTATCTCTCAATTGTCATGATTTACTCTTATGCAATCACAATGCTGTTGCAAAAGTCCCATGATGGTAATATAGATGTGTATTATCTTTATCTACTTATTTGCTCTTCAATTTTTTTTTTTTTTTGAGTCTAACACACAATAAAAGTGTTTTCAAGGAAGGACAGAATTTTGTTAGCAATAGTTTTCATCATCAACTAATTACAGATTGCTGAGAGCTGAAGCTTTAAGACTCTTCAAAATAGTCTACCACCAATATAAAAAAATCATAGGAGTTGGCAAGCATATACTCTTAAATGAAGGCTTCACCAAAGCCTTCTTTAGTACTGAAACAATTTTGTCTATTCTTACATACTAAAGCAAATCTTTACCCTCAGTTTGAGTTCAAACTTTCTCACTAGAGGCTGAGCACATGAGCACTGGGCAGGAATGTGTATCACTGTGAAGAAGGGATTGTCACATCAAGGCAATACTCTGGACCAGTGTTGAAAACTTTGTTCCATGCTGAATACCACGAGAAAGGAAGGAAAGACAGACTGTCACTGCTGGTAAAATACAAACCTTTGGTTAAAAAATTATGGTGAAGGACTTAATTATACTGTTATGGCTTAAATAGTAAGGAGTTCATCTAAACACATCCATCTGAAAGCTGAATTATATTTCTTGAACTGATGAAAGAGATTATGAGACACACATCCCCCCCCCCCCCCAAAAAAAAGGCACTGCTGTGGCTGTGAGAGTTGTAGGTGCAGCTTTGAGTGGGAAAAAGGTGATGTGTTATACATGAATACCCTGGTCTTCAGCTTTAGCTCTTTACTACAGTATTGATTCCAGGGATTGTGTCTACATTTTAGAAAGGATGTTGGAAAATTGGAAAGTGTTCAGAAAAGCATTACAAGAATGATTTCAGGTCTGGAAAACATCCTTTGTAGTGAATGACTAATGAAACTCCATCTACTTACTTTTTCCAAGGGAAGTTTTTCCACAACTTTGTCATAGCCTGCAAGTTGCTACATGGGGAAGAGTCTTCTGATAGATTAAATCTCGCAGAAAAGGACATTAAAAGGCAGAAAGCTAAAGCTACGCAAGAGCAAAATGAGAAACAAGGCAGGGGCTGGTAACCTTCATGGCAATGGAACGCTGGCATAATTTCAGATGTGGGGGAATCACCACTACTTGGGGTCTTTTTTAACCAACTAAATATCTAACTGAAAGGGATGCTCTAGTTCAAGTAAGCTTATTGTCCAAAGGCAGGCACTACTTAGTGAGGCTCACAGCCTGTATTACAGAACAGGCAAGTCTAGATAAATATAATACCAATAAAATTGAAACACAGGAATGTATCTTATTAGCCTTCTCCTCATACTTTCCTTCTTCAATGATCCCTGTGAAAAACAGTCAAGCATCTGGAGTGCTGTGCTTGCAGCCTCTCATGCTGCTACCAGCTCTGCCTCATTATTTCCTCAGTGCCCTGCCTCTAGCTGTTCTCTTGCATGTCAGATTCAGGTTGCAAGTCTTCCTGGGCTGTAAACCGGCTTTTCCTTCTGTACAGTTTCTCATGCAACTGTTCTCTGGCTCTGGAAATTGGGGCTGGTGAGCACTGCTGCAGCATATACGGATAAATAACATTTTGAATGGTGCCTTCAATTATACTGGCATGATTTCAAACATTATGGCATTTCAAACATTATGAGCACGTGTGATGAACAGGAGTCCATTTACTCATTGAGTTTTAAAATATGAGATCAATACAATTTAGGGGAAAAAACCCCAACAACTTAAAAACACAAATGGAATTTGCTTCCAAGAGTAAAACTCTAATTTTGATTTATTTCTGAGCACTGAGTTTTATATTAGCTGAATGCATTTGGAGGTGGGAGAGGCACTCAGCTTTCTGGCATCCTCTCTGCAGTGTTTGTGTAACAGCATGATTAATTCATTAATAAAGCACAGCTTGTCAATGGGTAGCACTGGAAATATTACATATTAAGAGCACCAAGCGTTCAGCGTGCTGCGTGGAGAAGCCTCTGCCAGTGTGCTGGAGCGAGCACCTAAACAGAGCTGGCTGCAACCAAAATAAAGAGTTCAAATAATAAATCAAAATATCTTCCCATTCCTCTCCCAAGGGATCTCAGGCTCTGTGCTACGGGCAGGGGCAGAGGGTAGAGCACTTGTGTAATAATAACAGCTTTGGCTAACAAAAGAGCAACTCCAGCAAAAACCGCTGAGGAGAGTCTAAATCCTTCCTGCTGAGTAGAAGGAAAACAGCACCTACTGGAAACAGTGGGATTTGGGGAGGGCCAGGACAATTTACACTGGCACTCGGTTGTTAACATTAAGCACGTTAAGGTCACTTATTAACAACGTATAGGTTTGAACAACTGCTGACTGCGGGGAGGTGTGTTACTCATATGACCGCGCCGTGCCTTCCCCCTCCTCCTCTCCGAAGAGCGATCAAAGAGCAGGGATTCCAAATTGTGAAGCAATTTTTTCCAGCGGGAGCATCTGGGCCGTTGGCACGCTCCTCCGTGCGCTTTACCCTGCAGCTCAGGAATTGCGGCCAGGTCTGCCACATGGTTGGGCTCGT